GATTTCCCATGGCAGGAGGTCCAGGTGAGACCTCCACTCAATTATATGACATTTTATGATTTCCTTTTTTGATTTTATTTGCTAATTTGTGATCATTCGAATCCTGCAGGATAGGCAGGAGCTTTTGTCATATCCACATCTTTGTTTACTGAATGAAGAAAATGAGACAGGAATCACTCCCAGGAGTCAGGGTCACAGAGCATGAAGCACATAGTCTTTGCAGTTATTAGGTCTTGTGCTTAAAAGTTGATGAGTGCTGAGCCATGCAGCAAACATTTACTGAGTTCCTGTTTTATCACAGGACCTATGCTAAGTGTTGAAAATAGAAATGAATATAACATTTTCCGGCCTCAGGATGTTTATAGGATGGTGAAGGTTGTAGCTTTCCAACTCCCACTTTTTCTGAAATCAAGAATCTGAACTGAGAGTTCATGTGTGCTTATGAGGAATCTGTAGATGTATATAGGAGAATGTGTTTTTATATATTTATAGTTTGGGGGAGTTATAAATTGCTTGCTTTTCTAGTAATCCTAAAGTTTCTCCTTCAGAGATTACAATCAGCGTTCTGTGATTGGCAGAAAGGAAGCAATTTGCCCATGGTCAAGTAGCAGTGGGCTAATAGAACAAGTCTTCTAGCTCCCAGTTCAGTACTCTTTTCGTTACATTAGTGACTTTCAAACAGAAAAGCACAGCTGTAATGGCTGAAGCAGAGTGGGAGCCTGACAGTTTTCCCCATCATTCCCTTCCCTACTGACCAAGCAACTCTTGAAGAAATGAGGGAAATAGAGGAGCTCCATTTATAAGCTGTTGTTCTGACTGGAGCTGACAAGCTGGTCACAGAATTAGAACTAGATTTTTATCCTGGTACTGCCATGCACTGGTTACCTCAAGATAGTTCTGTACCCAACAGAGCAATGATTTCTTTACCTATAAAATTAGATAGTAACACCTAAGGTCTTTTGAGTTTATTCTTGAAGGTAGATGAGTGCTGAACTGCAAACTGAGTATTTCCCACATTCCTGGCAAATCTATGCATGGACCTGTGCTACTGGGTATAGTGGAGTAAAGTACCATATGGATGTAAACTACGCAGCCTGGTATTTTGTACATAAATATAGTACCCCAAAAAATCCAAGCACTTGTTACTAAGGCAGCTTGATGAGGGAGTTACAGGTGACACTATTGCCACTATTAGAAGGAAGGCTAGAAGCAGAGTAGGAAGAGCCTAGGATGAAAGTTAGGAAATTTGAGTTCTAGTTTCAATTCCAGGCCAAAGGACTTAGTATTTATTGGCCTTAGTTGCCTGTAAAGATCTTTAATTATGTTCTGCGAACAATGGTAGAAATCCTTTCCAGGCTTAAAATATTAGAACTCCACTAAACCAATATCAACACATTAGTTTCAAACTTCTCTTGGACTAGTATTTGACAAATAACAAGCATATTTACTGAGCTTCTATAGGAAGTAAGTGCTAATTATAATGATAAAATTCATTACCAGTATAGGAAACTTAGAAGCTTTAGGTCGAAATCAGGTTAGGTAAGTATTTAATAAAGGACACTGATTGGAATATATGCAATATATTATAATAATATATATAAAATTATAGGAATTATAATATATAATATATAATATATATAAAATAAAATAATATTATATATATAAAATTATAGGAATTATAAATTAATGATGATCTGTAGTCACAGCAACATTTTAACTCCCAGGTAGCTTTCTTTACTGCCAAGCAAATTTTAGGATTACTTTCTTTTTTAGTTGTCTATTGGGACTTAAAGAATGCAAACTGTGCCGAGCATAGCAGAGTACCTGGGTTTGAGTTCCAGTCCTGTTCGCAATTCTAGCTTCCTGTTAATGTGCACTCAGGCAGCAGGTGATGGCTCAAGTATTTGGGTCCCTGCCACTCAGGCAGAAGACTTGGATTGAGAGAGTTTCTGACTCTTGGCTTCAGCCTGGCTATACCCTGGCTATGGCAGGCATTTGGGGAGTGAACCAGCAGATAGATGGGAGATCTGTCTGTCTGTCTGTCTCTCTCTGCCTTTCAGATAAATGAAATAAATAAATATTTTTAAAAGAATACAGTATTTAGTATTAGTTTGAACTGAATAGCATCCAACATTGAGTTAAGCCACCACTTGTGGTGCCAGATTGGAGTGCCAATTCAAGTTCCAGCTACTCTGCTTCTAATCTAGCTTCCTGCTAATGTGCCTGGGAAGGCAGCTGAAGGTGATCCAAGTACTTAGGCTTTTGTCGTCACCCATGTGGGAGACCCAGAAGGAGTTCCTGGCTTCTGGCCTTGTCCTGGCCCAGACCTGTCTTTGTGGCTTTTTAGGGAGTAAACCAATAGATGTAAGGTATCTTTCTGTTTCTCTTCCCCTCTTTCTCTCTATTGCTGTGTCTTTCAAATAAATAAATCTTTAAACAAAAAATATTCTAGGGAAAGAGACCTTAAATTCTCTCAAAAACAAAATAAATGATGTTGGAATTATGTAACTAGACCATCTTGAGTTATCAGTTATTCTTAGCACTACTCTCTCTACTTAGCATTGGCAACAGAAATTTAGCTGATAAGTAAAAATCTCTTGCAGTCTAGATATTTGCTCTAGCAGTCAAGATACTGGTTGAGACACCCTTGTCGCATATCAGAGTGCGATTGTTCTATGCCTGGCTTCAGCTCCCACTTCCAGCTTCCTGCCAATGCAGACCTTAGGAGGCAGCAGATGATGACTCAAATACTTGAGTCCCTACCATCCATGCAGGAGACTTGGATTGGGTTCCTTGGTCCTGGATTTGGCCAGATTGTGGGTATTATGGGAATGAACCAGTGGATGGAAACACTCTGGCTATCTAGCTAGCTGGCACATGCTCACTCTCTCTGTCTCTGTCTCTCTGTCTCTCTCTCTCTCTCTCAAGTAAAAATAGTAATAATTTTTTTAAAGATTTATTTGAAAGATAGAGTTACAGGGAGAAAGAGAGAGAGAGGTCTTCCATCCACTGGTTCACTCCCCAGATAGCCGCAGTGGCTGGAGCTGAGCTGATCCAAAACCAGGAGCCAGGAGTTTCTTCCAGGTCTCTCACATGAGTACAGGGGCCATCCTTCACTGCTTTCCCAAGCGAATTAGCAGGGAGCTGGATCAGAAGTGGAGCAGCTAAGACTTGAACCATCACCCATATGGGATGCTGGTGCTGCGGGCCAGGGCTTTAACCCACTGCGCCACAGCACTGGCTCCAATAATAATAATTTCTTAAGATGTCTTTGCAACTAAAACTAATCCATAGTTGTTGTTTTTTTTTTTTTTCATGACCTTACAGAATCTCAGCATCTGTGGGGATGGCATAAATGGTGGGATAGTAGTCATTTAATCAGGGCTTGTCAGCTTCAACAATGTTGATGTTTTTGGCTAATAATTCTTCACCATGGGAGGGTCCATCCTGTATATTATCAGATATTTAATAGCATCCCTGACTTCTGCCCACCAGATGCCAGCAGCACCACTAACCCTTCCCAACAGTTGTGCCAACCAAAAATGTCCCCAGACATTACCAGATATCCACTGAGAGACAAAATTGCCCCTAGATAAGCACCATATATCTAGTCCAGATTTCCATCTCATACTGGAATGCTGGTTATAGTATCACTACAGAGCATGTAATAAAATTTTTGGGACTGGGAAGCTCTTTGTAGACCAAGAAAACCTGTGTCTTATCTTATGAGAACTTTCTTACTGTCTCCCTGCTGTCTGAAAAATGGAGTGGGATTCCTCAGTAACAACTCAAGTTTCAACAGATAAAACATTTATCTAACTGTTCTCTCCAACTACAGAACACTTATAAATGCTGGATAAAATATTAACATTTAAGGCATAGCTGTAAGAAAGCACAAAATCACCAGAGTACAAAAAAAGGGAAAAAGATAAAAAATTTAAACAGCAGTAAACAAATGAGATTCGGGGGAGGGGGCAAAGGATTTGGATTTTAATCACCAGGAAGGGATAAAAGATGAAGTGTTCCTTTGGTTTATATGGAGAAGAACATTAGAATTTAGAATCCTAGGAGCTGGCATTGTGGCTTAGCAGGTAAAACTGCCGCCTGCAGTGCCAGCATCCCATATGGGTGCCAGTTTGTGTCCCAGCTGCTCTGCTTCCCATCCAGCTCCCTGCTCATGGCCTGGGAAAGCAGCGAAGATGGCCCAAGTGTTTGGAACCCCTGCACCCATGTGAACGAAGCTCCTGGCTTCCGCCTGGTCCAGCCTTGGCCATTGTGGCTATCTGGGGAGTGAAACCAGCAGCTGAAGATGTCTCTCTATCTCTGTCTCTGTCTCTCCCTGTTTCTCTCTGTAACTCTGACTTAAAAAAAAAAAAAAAATCAAACATTCAGGCCAGCCCCAGCTTTTCTTCTAAATTCAGTAACAAGACAAGAATGCATGCTTTCCCAACATGCTACTGAAGCCCTAGCAGACCAGGTAGACAAGAAAAAGAAATAAAAGGTACTCCAATTGGAAGAGAAGAAGTAAAATTATCCCTGTTCATAGGTGATATGATCTTACATGTAGAAAACCCTGAAGATTCCACACACAGAAAACTGTGAAAACGAATAAACAAATTCAGCAAAGTAGGAAGATACAAAGTCAACACACAGAAATTAGTTGCATTTCTATACACTAACAATGCTCATTCTGAAAAGGAAATTAAGTAAACAATTTCATTTACAATAAGATCAAAAGGAATAAAATACTTAGAAATTAAAATAAATAAATAAAAAGCATTCAGAATCCCTCAAAAAGTCAGAATTTTCAATAAAAGGTAGATTAGAAAAATATCAACCTCTGACATAGGAAGACAAATGAGAAACTTATCTATCATGGCCTGAGCTCTAGTTGGGGGTGAGGGAATGGTGGTTGTATAATTGTTTCCCTACTTTCTTGTATGTTGGACATTTAATATGCTAACAAAATGACCCAGCAGCAGCCAGGTTAAGTCATTAACCTTAAGTGGTTCCAGACTGGTGATAACAGATGATGCTGTGGAGGGCACATTCTCAACCCATCATTGCAGACTTCTCATAGTGAACTCCTGTTTATGATTGGGCTGATAATGACAAATTTATGGAATTTAGAATTAGACTGTCTCCACCCAGATTTTAGACAATAGGAGTAACAGAATGTTTAGAATTATCAAGAAAACATGATACTGGCAAAACAGAGAGAGATTTGAGGGGCTGGCGCTGTGGCCAGCAGGTTAATGCCCTGGCCGGAAGTGCCAGCATCCCATATGGGCGCTGGTTCAAAACCCAGCTGCTCCACTTCTGATCCAGCTCTCTGCTATGGCCTGAGAAAGCAGTTGAAGATAGCCCAAGTCTTTGGGCCCCTGCACCCGCGTGGGAGACCCAGAAGAAGCTCTTGGCTCCTGGCTTCAGATTGGCGAAGCTCTGGCCATTGTGGCCAATTGGGGAGTGAACCAGCAGATGGAAGACCTCTCTCTCTCTGCCTCTCCTCTGCGTAACTCTGACTTTCAAATAAATAAATAAATCTTTAAAAAGAGAGAGAGAGAGATTTGAGGGGAATAAAACAGAACTTATATAAATTTAAAAATCATCAAAATAAAATAACTTATTCAGCAATTTAGAAGTAACTGTACTAGAAGGCAAATTTGAGGAAATCAAGAGATATGAAGGATAAAATGAGAAGAAGATAAAGGAATTAGGAAAGGACAATAGTTAAAAAGGAAATGACAGATTTTTCCAGAACTGATTTGAGATACAAATTCTCAGATTCAGAAGCCCAGTAGTCCTGAACATTACAAATAATAATAAACCCACATCTAGATACAATGTTGTAAAACTGCAGAACATGCAAAACAAAGGGAATTTTGAAAGCAGCTCATAAGAAGAGACCAATTATTTACAAAGGAAAGTCTATCAGACCTATAACTGGTTCCTCAGAAGCAGCATTAAAATCCAGAAAACATGAGATAATTGACAGCCTAGAATTTTGAACCTTGCTGTACTGTCAAGAGAGATATGAAATAAAGACCTTTTCTAAGAGACTAAGAGAATTTACCATTAACAGACCCTTGCTAATTCAGCTGCTCAAGGATGTACTTCAGGAGGAAGAAAATTGAACCTAAGATGGAAGAAATAAGATCTAAGAAGGAATGGTGAGCTCAATAATTGGTAAACATGGGGTAGATCTGAATAAACATTGATTCACTTAATAATGATGGTCATGTATCACCTCTACACTTTAAGTCAAGAATGTCTGTAGACATTTTAAAGAAATTAGTAAAATAAAGGAATGTATAATTTCTAAACTAGTAGTGGAGGGAGAGGAAGAATATGATGAAAAAAATCCAGGAAAAATAGGAAAACAACATAGAAAAAGGAAGGTAAATGGAAATTATAGTGACAAAATAAATCAAAATATACCAGAAATCAATAATAAAATTAAATGAATACACTGAAAACTGATGAAAAAGAAATGGAAGCATAGTAATCTCAGGTTTAGCTATATGCTTTTATAAGAAACACATGAAATATAAGAATTCAGAAGATCCAAAGTTAGAAGCATACAAAAAAAGATAAATTGGGGTGTATTAGCCAAGAAAGAGAGGTGTAATGGTATTTTTATCAGGTAAAACAAGCACTAATACACAAAGCATTGCTGAGGATAAATAGGTCCACTGTATGATATAGAAAGAAAAATTCACCAAGAAGTCGACTAAACTTTCATGTATGTAATAACCTATCTTCAAAATATGAAAGAGTTGTATAAATATAAAAAACTTTAGGAGAAATTTTAAAATAGATCTCTTAGTAATTGATGGATCTAGCTTATAAAAGATTAGTAAGTATAAAGTTTGAATAATAATAAAAAAGTATATAATGGACTTACATAGAAAATATGCATTAATAATCCATGAATTCTTAATCTTCTCAAGGATAAATGGAACGTTTAAACAAATTGACCATGAATAATTTAAAAAGCTGATTTCAGTAAACAGCAAATAGTGATATCACAGAGGTCCTATTCTGTGACTCCAGTGCAATTAAATTGATGGCAAACAGACAAACCCTAACAAAAATATCCCATGATTTTGGAAATTTAGAAATATATTTTAAATACCTAATGATTTTAAACAGCAGTCAGGGTTGGCATTTGGTATAGCGATTAAGATACCACTCAGGATATCTGCATCCTCTATTGTGGTCCCTGGGTTCAAGTCCCAGCTTTGCACACAGTTCTAGCTTCTTTCCTACTGATGTTTTTCCTGGGAGGCAGCAAGTGATGGCTGAAGTACTTGGGTCCCTGCAAGCCAAGTAGGAGACCCAAATTGAGTTCTGGGTTCTTGGTTCCAGCCTGGCCCAGCTGTGGCTATTGTGGACATTTGGGTAGTCAGCCAGCTAGTAGGAAGTATCTCTATCTGTCTCTCTCCCTTTCTCCATCTCTTTGCTCATGATGCAAATTAGAAAACATTTGGAATGAAGTAATGAGAATAGTACATATCCAAACTTGGTAGATAAAGCCATACAGTGCTCAAAAGAAAATTTAAGCCCTCATATAGTTATATTAATGATTATTAACTGAAAATTAACAATAAAAAAAAGAATAGCTGAGTAACAAGTTAGAAAAGAAATAATAAATATAAGAACAGAGATCAGTAGGAGCCAGCATTCTAGAGAAGCAGGTATAGCCACCTGCTACAACTCCAACATCCCATATAGGTACCGGTTCAAGTCCTGGCCATTCCACTTCTGATCAAGCTCCCTGCTAATGCACCTGGAAAAGCAGCAGAAGATGGCCCAAATACTTGGGCCCCTGCACCCACATGGGAGACCCAGAAAGAGTTCCTGGTTCCTGGCTTCAGATCAGGTCAGCTCCAGCCATTGCGGCCATTTGGGGAGTGAACCAGTGGATGGAAGACCTCTCTCTCTGTCTCTGTCTCTCTCTATATATATACCTTTCAAATATATAAATTAATTTGTTTTTATTTAAGGTAAACAAATTTCATGTCTTTCATATCTACAGATTTAGGATAGTGATTCTTCCCACCCTTCCTCTTCCTTCCTTTTTTATTCTCTCTCAATTTTTAAAAAGATTTTATTTATTTGAAAGTCAGAATTATACAGAGAGAGGAGAGGCAGAGAGAGAGAGAGAGAGAGGTCTTCCATCTGCTGGTTCACTCCTCAGTTGGCCGCAATGGCCAGAGCTGTGCCAATCTGAAGCCAAGAGCCAAGAGCTTCTTCTGGGTCTCCCACGCAGGTGGGGGGCCCAAGGACTTGGGCCATCTTCTGCTTTCCCAGGCCATAGCAGAGAGCTGGATCGGAAGTGGAGCAGCTGAGTCTAGAACCAGTGCCCATGGGATTCCGGCATGTGGGTGGTGGCTTTACCTGCTATGCCACAGCACCATCCCTGCCCTCTCTTAATTTTTGCAATGATCTGTTTTCAGTTTACTTTATACTCATAATATTAACCCTACACTGAGTGAAGAATTTAACAAATAGTAAGGAGAAAAAAGTGTTCCTTAACAGTAGAAACAAGGGCTATAAACAATAATTGAATTTCAAAATGTCAATGTCACTCCTATACATTACATTGTTGGTACTCAGTTACCACAGATCAGGGAAAGCATATGGTATTTGTCTTTTGGGACTGGCTTATTTCACTAAGTATAATGGTTTCCAGTGCAGCCATTTTGTTGCAAAAGACAGAATTTCATTCTTTTTTACAGTTGAGTAGTATTACATACAATATATATATACCACATTTTCTTTATCCAGTCATCAGTTGATAGACATCTGGGTTGCTTCCATATCTTAGCTATTGTGAATTGAACTGCAATGAACATAGGAGTACAGATAACTCTTTGATATGCTGATTTCATTTCCCTTGGGTAAATTCCTAGGAGTAGGATAGCTGGGTCATATGGTAGTGCTGTTTTCAACTTTCTGAGGTATCTCCATATTGTCTTTCACAATGGCTATTGTACTTTACATTTCTGTCAGCAGTGGATTAGGATACCTTTTTCCCCCCACATCCTCACCAACATTTATTGTTAATTTCTGTATGAAATTCTAACTGGAGTGAGGTGAAACCTCATTGTGGTTTAGATTTGCATTTCCCTGATGGCTGGTGATCCTGAGAATTTTTTCACATGTCTGTTGGCCATTTGAATTTCCTCTTTTGAAAAATGCTTGTTCAAGTCCTTTGCCCATTTCTTAACTGGATTGTGTGTGTTATTGTTGAGTTTCTTGATCTCTTTATAGACTCTTGATATTAATCCTTTATCTGTTGCACAGTTTGCAAATATTTTCTCCTATTCTGTCGGTTGCCTCTTCACTTTGCTGAGTATTTCCTTTGCAGTGCAGAAACTTCTCAGCTTGATGTAATCCCATTTGTCTATTTTGGTTTTGATTGCCTGTGCTTCTGGGGACTTTTCCAGTAAGTCTTGCCTATGCCCATGTCTTACAGAGTTTCCCTAATGTTCTCCTCTAGTAATTTGATGGTGTCAGTTTGTAGATTTAGATCCTTGATCCATTTTGAGTTGATTTTTTTATAAGGTGTAAGGTAGGAGTCTTATTTCATACTTCTGCACATGAATATCCAATTTTCCTGCACCATTTGTTGAAGAGACTCTCCTTTCTCCATGGATTGATTTTAGCTCCTTTGTCAAAGATTAGTTGGATGTAGATATGTGAATTAATTTCTGTAGTTTCTATTCTGTTCCATTGGTATACATGTATATTTTTGTGCCAGACTAGACTGTTTTGGTTATAACTGCCCTGTAGTATGTCTTGGAATCTGATATTGTGATGCCTCAGCTTTGTTTTTATTGCTTAACATTGCTTTAGCTGTTTGGGATCTCCTGTGTTTCCATATGAATTTTAGTGTCCTTTTTTTTCTAGATCTGAGGAAAATGTTGTTGGTATTTTGATTGGAATGACACTGAATCTGTAAATTGCTTTTCATAGTACAGACATTTTGATTTTATTAATTCTTCCAATCCATGAACATGGAAGATTTTTCCTTTTTTTTTTTACTGTCTTCTTTTATTTATTTCCTTAATGTTTGGTAATTTTCATCATAGAGATCTTTTACCTCGTTGGTTAAATTTATTCCAAGGTATTTAATTTTTTTTCTGTAGCTAATGTGAATGGGATTGATTT